AGAAATTATAAACGATGCTAAAATTAAGTTTAGCATTTATAGACCATAAAAGTAACAAGTGATAATTTAAAGTTTCAATAATTAAGACGCAATAAAAATTGAGGGAAAATATTTGTATTAATGAATACTGAGGAAGGAAAAACAACGTCACACAAATTCGACTTATTTTGAATTACAAAACAAAAATCGATAAACATTGATTCGTGACTAGCTGTTTCACAAGCCAACAAAGATGGGTTGATTTAGTTGTTTGTTTGTTTTTGAATTTTGCTCAGAGCTACATTAGGGATAATTTTGAAATGATAGTCTAGAGGAAAGGCAAATAGTCAACACCACTCATCGTCAACCCTTGGATTACTCTTTACCTACAAATAGTGGGATGGACAGTCATATTGTAACGTCCCCAAGGCTGAAAGGGGCGGAAACTTCGGGGATGTGATTCGATCCTGCGACCCTTAGATTGCGAGTCAATGCCAGGCCGTATGAGGCCATAGGAAGAAAGAAAGGTTTGTCCAGCGAGTGTTTGACAACCACTGAGTGCAAGGTAGTGGAGAATGACACTATCCCTAAAATGATTTCAAACGATTTTAGCAAATATGAGATAAATACAGAGCATCACCAAGAAAGTAATTACTCGTATTAATGCTTTCAACATCGATAACTGAGTGAAATTAATACAAAAGTTGTACTGGTGGTATACGTTGCCCACAACCATGCCCACTTGGTTGGAATTTGGAATTTTCACATGAAAATTGAGAGATGAAATACACAAGTTCTGTCGACAGTAAAATGAACAGATTGAATTAATGCAAAGCAGCAATATGAAATATGCTAGGAAATAACATGTTATAAAGTTATAACAGAAAAATAGGAGACTAATCCTTAAAAAAAAAAGGTTAGATATTTTCAAGAAAAAAGAGTGAGAACACTTTAATTAACAGACCCTTAACTTTTGATCAAATTAGGACATTACATGTTGAACGTTTACGTGGATATATGAACAAAGAATATGAAAACTTAAAGATAAAACATCATCACACATATGTAAATTCGCTCTTAATATCTCACTATACCGAAAATATATACAGAGAATTAAAACTACCTTTGATGACGTGGAAAAATTAATTTTGAAAATATTGAAAATAACCAGGAACTAATGACGCCTCTTACAATTGCCCAGCCCTCAGTAGCCCAGCGGTATGTCTGCGGACTTACAACGCTAGAATCCGGGTTTCGATACTCGTGGTGGGCAGCGCACAGATAGCCCACTGTGTAGCTTTGTGCATAATTACAAAAAAAACCCAACAAACAATTGCCCAAAAGCTACACGCAAACGTCAAGATTATACTTCTACAGCCCAAAGAAAGCAGTTATCACAAATAGCAAATACTTTTATCGCAAGTACGAAGAAGTAAGGCTCAAAATAACCACCATCACTGAATATGTTCTCCTTTTCAAGCGTAGAGATGTTAATCTTATTATTCGTTAACCACCATCAACGAATATGTTCCCCTTTTCAGGCGTAGGGACGTTAATCCTATTATTCGTTGGTTAAGAGTAATAACCACCTTCATCGAATATGTTCCCCCCTTTTCAGGCATAGAGACGTTAATCCTATTATTTGTTAACCACCATCACCGAATATGTTCCCCTTTTCAGGCATAGGGACGTTAATTCTATTATTCGTTGGTTAAGAGTAGGCCAAGAGTTGCGGTGGGCGGTGTGTTGACTAGCTGCCTTCACCCTAGTCTATTACGTGAAATTCAACAGATAAACAACCAAACCAAAATACATTTGGTAGGCTTGTTTAAAAGAAGTATATGTTGTAAAACTTCCCAACCAGATAAACCTGTCGTTTGCTAGTCCTACAAAAATATGAGTAACATTAGTTTATGGTCTCTCGTTTTCTATCAGTAGTTTGAAAAATTTAACTGGATGTTTAACCATCACACTTTTAACAATATAAGTAAAGGCATAAAGATGTTACATTGTTTCATACGTTAAGAAAATTTGAAAATAATAGGGATGTTGCAGTAACTAAACTGTCATCCAGGATATATATATACCTAAGAAACAAAACTGAAAGATGTGCTGAAGTAGGAAAATACTTACAAGAATTTATAATCAAATCCACTTTCCAAGAAAGTATCGGATTTAACATATTTCTATAGGAAATGTTCTAGCTGATTATCCTGATCGCTTAAAATTAATTAAACATATCAATTTTTCGTTGCCGTATATGTATGGGTTGGTTAAAACGCACAAAGATGGCTATTTTATCTTAGATCTAAATCAAGCTTTCGACTTTCAAAATGGCTACCCCAATACCTATCGCCTATTCTAGAAATGTTCTATTTGCCACATATTCAAAATAATATAGATTTTGCCAATAAAATAAAACACTTTACCATAAATGAGGAGAAGATGGTCAAAGTTACGTTGAATCTATGACTATAAATGTAAACAAATGATACAAGCATAGACTTCTTAAAACAAAAATTACGTGAACTGCTTTATGTGCTTGCCCATACTTTAATCTCCCTAGTGGAAAAATGTGTGAAAGATAATGTATTCAAATACATGGGACAATATTACAGAGAAAAATATGGAATGGCTATGAACAATCTGGTATCCTGAATTCTATGTAATACCTTTTTTTGGTGTATTTTGAAAGTGAGCTACTGTCTTTAGAGAATCTGAATACAAAGAAAATACTCTGGTTTCGTTGTGTATATGACATATTTTTTGTTCGGTTGAATAATAGTAATGATTTTTAAGCCTTTTTTCGGAAGTTTAACAAGTGGCAAGTACTATTAAGTTTAAAATATTGTATATCCTTTAACCTTACAATTGACTTCTAGTAAAAATATTTTTTCATTCGAAATCTGTGGAAAAGTAAGTTTGACTTTTCTGAAAAATAATTGTAAATACAACACTACTGTGTATATAATAAAAAAGTGCTGTTGTATATTTTCTCGGAGTAAACGATCAAGTTTCTTCCATCCTCGCTTGCTTAAGCAGTGTATTCTATAGTTTACATATAACGTATATCAGCCACCAATATTCTGGCCTCAGTAGTAACCTCAAACATAGTATAAACATACTAAAGTAAAGAATTGTAAAAAGTAAAAAAATAACACCACGACACGAAATTTGTGAAGGAGAAGAAGGACTAGGATATCAAAACTTTCCGTAAATCTTCGAACAAAACTTGCTATGTATGAGAATAGACTGGTTTGGACATAAAAAAGTGTAAAGTCAATGTCTGCTAATTTGGCACAACAGTAAACTGTATAATAAACATGATGATTTATATGTATTGATATGAACGTCACTATGTGTAGCCTAGTGATTAGCGTACTGGATTGTTCATACGAGAGTCTAGAGTTCGTGTTTCGTTGTTGCAAACTCATGCTCATCATTTGAGGTCTGTGGTTGGATTATAAATGTGAGAGAAAATCCTACTTTTTTTTTACTACAGTGGTCAAAAAAGTAGCTGTGAGTGTTGTTGACTAGCTGCTTTTCTTATAATTCATCAATTGCAGATTAGAGACGGCTAACGCAAATAGCTCTGCGCTTTGTCTGAAACAAACAAACAATTTTTAAAAAAACAATAACAATATGCAAATTGAATATAATATATTTTACAGACATTATAAAGATGCATTTATAGCTGAACAAACAAACGTTTTTTTTTGTGTTGTGATGTTTCTTAAAGCTTGTTCAATAGGCAAGAGAAATTATCATCAAAACGCTTTCAATCCAGATGTAATTTTTAGTGTTAAGCATTTTTTTTGAATATATAAGATGTATTATTTTGTTTTGTTACTAAGAGAAAGTTAAACCAGAGTTATTTTTTCTACATATTACTCCAAGATTACTTTTTTAATGAAAGAGTTATTGTTTGTTTGTAATTATGCATAAAGCTACACAATGGGCTATCTGTGCTCTGGCCACCACGGGTATCGAAACCCGGTTTATAGCGTTGTAAGTCCGCAGACATTCCGCTGTGCCACTGGGGGGGGGGGGGCATGAAAGATTTAATAAGCGTAGTTTGGCTTACGTTATCTTGATACCGTAAGTGGAACTTTTAACGTTATACTAGAACGGAAAGTAATAAATATATTTAGAAATGTATAGAATATGCGCCAATTTCTATCAGCGTTAAGTTATTATTGGCTGTAATATTATTTTCCATTCACTTCAGTTTAAACCATCAAAGAAATTCGTAAATTATAAACAAAGAAAATTGAAAATAAAAAAACAACATAAGCTTGAAAATAGATGAAAAAAAAAAGATGTTAAATGCAAAACATATCCATCATTCATCAAGGGCCAGTGTGACTCAGTGATTAACATGCTCAGTCAGGGTCGTGGTTCAAAGCTCTATGCTAGAAAAATGCATTCCGATAGGGGTGACAGTCAAGCCATATTATTCTCTCAGTAAAGAAGTACTGGTATGATCCTGCCGTTATTAATGATTTAATAGCCGTCTCTCTCACGGAATTTTTATAAAATATTTTGACGTAATTTTAAGATTTTACGTTTCGCGAAATTTATAACTAATAATAATTAACATCAACTATTTACAAGTGAACCCTGAAAACAGCTGATATGGCAGGATAAAGTTATATTTGATTTAATCTATTTTTCTTTTTATAAACGATTATACAAAAAAAAAAAGGCGTAGAAACCAGCAAACGCAAAACACCTATTTATTTAACTAATATGTACAATACATTTTTTAATTTCATCCTCGTAATACAAATAATTGGATGCTTTAGACAATCATAATGATTTAGCATTTTATCTTAAGCTTCAAGGAAAACAAAGGCACGGACAGGTAATTTTTATCAAACGTAAAAACATGAACACTATACATAGTTATATGCTAGGAAAGCAATAACCAGTGAATTAAATAACAATACATTTTATCGACACTGATTTCAATACAAAATTGTATTTTTAATTATGCAAAATTAACAGTTTTACATCCAAAGGACATTTGTACGTAAACAGAATATTCAGAGAAAAGTATACCAGCATACGCCTTTCTTTTATCGTACTTCTACACGACTATGATTTAGTTTGGGTTGTTGTCATTCGCGAAATAAGTGTCCGTATATTTTCAACATAGGCAGCAGAGACTACAATATAAAGAAACTTCAGAGGAAATCTAAAACCAATTGAAAATTTCAAAATTAGTGATATTTATGAAAACTGTAGCAAGCGTTTGGAGCGTTTAAAGTAAGCACAATGTATATACATTTATAGTGTTAAAATATTATTATGAAAAAATACGTGTCAAAAATTTTTAGTACTTCACGTGATTCTATTGAAATTCCAGTAATTTACTATTATCCAACAGCAGTAAAATTTGTAAGTTAAGCAAATATTCGATAAACTTTTCAATGTTCTTCAGCATCTAGCAGTCAATTGCTCATCTCTACCACTTCGGTATACTTTCCGCAACAGGAGAGACACAAAGCGGAAGAACAAGATTTCAGAGGTGTTTCTCGATTCCAGAAGTCACACCACATGAGTCCCCACTGAGCCAACAAAACTTCGTGATGATAACTGTGGAGATTGTGCGTGGAAATGTCGTGTTCGGTAATCAACAATCGGGGGTGTTTCTGTGATCCGAACATGATGTTTTCCTACGTCAACCGGGGTCACAGGAAAGGGTGAATAGCGAGAATCCGGGGAAATTACAACAAGTTCCTCATCGGCGGCGAATGAATCATCGACAGAACTTCTTGGCCATTCCTTAAAGCATTTACACATACACAAAAAACATCAAAAAAAAAGGACTCTAAAATAAAACGTATATTATACTTGCTGAAAAACAAAGGAACAAAACATTGTAGACAGATACCCTACACATCATGATAATTAGATATATATTTGAATATAGCTATTGAGGTGGAACTGACTTTAAAAAATTATGTTTTATATGTTTTATTTTGTACTAAAAATAAACCTTGTACCATAATTATTAAGTTAAAATGTAAACGTAAGTGACATTTGTAATCACCTAGCATTGGAAACTGCATTCGCTAAGTATATTAAAGAACGTAGTAATCTCAGCCAAAACTAAAAATCCAATATGATGGAACGTACACATGCCTTAGCTATACGGAATTTCATTCAGGTAATCAATAATAGAGTAAAATACATTTTTAAACGTATAACAAGGACATGAAGAGTGATACCGATATGTATACTTTTTAGTAATAGGTATCTGAAAATGATATTTTTAAATAACTACACCTTAATACTTAGACGAATTTTAGAATTAAACATATTATTTGAGGTTTCCATCATTGTGAGTTCATTTTAAAGGTAAAAAGCTATTTTATTTCAGTAGCATTTGCCAAGTTGAAGCTCATAACACTAACACGATTAGGGCTTTCCAGTACATTATTCATTTTATGTAAAAACATTAAAAGAAACGCCACATTACATACAATTTTATGAGTCCTCCGAGTTTTAAGAATGTCTGGGCAATCATCTCCACTACCAGTTGTTGTCCTTATAGTGTAATCTACGAATAAATAAGTATTAGTAAAAGGTCCCATACACACTGAAAACACAAATTGTTTATTTTAATAGTAAATAATTTATAATACACAATTTGGTAACTGACAAAATAAATCCACACCCTTTACACAACAAGTTATTGAAAAAGCTGTAAAACAGCTGGCCACACTACTTTAATAGAAGAAACTGTTTTGAGGAGCTGATAAGCACCCGATACTAGTTTTGTATATTCATTATTTTCATTCATTACTTTAAATAATTCATGTGTCAAACTTATTCATTCTGATCTCATCTAGTATGTGGGTCAGAAACAGGTATATGTTTAGTTGTTGACCTATGAATAAAATATATTTATAAAACAGTTCAGTGTAAAAAATAGTCACGTTTTTAAGTTGCTAACACATTGTTTTTTATCCCAAAACAAAATAGAATAGTGTTTTCTGAATTCATTGACCCTAATCTTAATCGAGATAATGGCATGGGCATAGGTTTATACTTGAGATATTGATTAATAACTGTATGCTGTTTTAACATAATCTGATAAGTGTAATGACGAAAATATATGATGTATACATATTTTTAGCTTGATTTCTGAATAACGGTGTGCCAATAATCAAATAATGGGCTTGTTTTTTGCACATCATAATCTTGACCACACTTCAGCCACAATAGCGGAAAGATTATAAGGTAATCACAGTTTTAAACGTAGTTTATTATTGGTGATGAATATCTGAACATTCACAACATTGGTTATTTTCTATCACGAACCTTGTGTTAAGTGACATTTTGGTTCCCTCATCTTGTGCTGAGGTTTCATATCCCCATTGTCGTTTATCTATAAAATTAAAGGTATTTCTCTAAGCTGTAATTATTCATCACAAATAACTGAATGAATAACAGTTTTATCATTATCCACGTTCTTATACATTGACGAAGTACCAGGATGTTAACTAAAAGCACATATAACACAATACGTTCATAAGAGTGAAAGCCGTTACGTTATATATCATTTAATTTCTTACAAGACTAACATAGGAAGACTATTACCTTGCGGATGAATAATGTTTTGTTGCCTCAGATGTTTATTTCGCAATGGGCTGTTGGCCATGTGTTTGATTTTATTATTAATAAATAATATTAATATTTGTTAACGTTAAAAGAACCGTTAAGCTTCTTTTTCTGAGAAATAAAACCCGTGTTCACTTTACAAATAGATAAGAAAACCTATAACCTATATATCTTAAATTCAAATTGCCTGAGTGCTAATTGTTGGAAAATATGAAAACATTTTCAATATAGTGATGAAAGAGTAGACGGTATAGTATCGAAAGACAGGATGCTATGATTTAAGAAAATTCTATAGCACAATTGACTAGTTTTTAGATTTTAGCAAATCTATAAACATTTTTAATAGCATTAAATGTTTAAATAGCTTGACCCATATGTAGATTTACTACTAAATGCTCGTAATGTCGGTTAATATATGATTTCGACATTCGCAAGACAACATTTTTAAAATTATGAAATAATGACAGAAATAAATGTTTAGTTTATTTTAGACACTACAGTCTCATTATATTTATTTAACTATATGAGGCAGATGAGCAATAATTAAATCACCTTCTTTCTAGCTGCAAGTTCCTTCATCATTATATCGTGACAACTTTTTCTTTTATCATCAACAGGACACAAAGCCTCTCCATTGATTTTGTCTTTATATGTACTCGGTGTGTACATTTTATTATCAGAATTTTCAGACCTTCTTTCCTTAATAGAGTTTTCTGAAATGATGGAATGTTCTTTTATTACAGATTAGTCTTCAACACATGAGCAGTCACAAAAACTGATGAAAATTCCAACCAATTTAATACAAGAAATACAAGATCAAAGTGTTGTTAAAAGTGTAGTTCTATTTAATTATGTATGTTTATTTCGCCTCAAATATATCTCAAATGTCTTTCAGAAATATTTATACTTAATACACATATTGGAACCATTTTAAAAACTGGTAAGCCATTATAGTAAATTTGAAGACGACGTAGCTTACGTTTTAACGTAATACATGTGTAGATCCGAAATATTATTTATGAAAATTAATGTTCAACATCACTTAATTTACTCGATATCTTTTACAAAGCTTATAATGCATTTAGTCAACACTGAACCATGATACTTTTTTATAGAATTCCATAATCAACAACAAAGCAAAATTGATGCATGAAAGCTGTTCAAATAAATCAAAAAATGCCATTAATAACTAAACTAAAATATTTTGAAATGATATAAATGTTCTTAAACATTCTCTTACGAAAATTACGAGCAATAAAAGACTCGAAGCATGATTTTACAGGGGGATGACAAAACTATTGAGTGAAAATAATGTATCGCTTCTTTAAAGTTGCCCCCCCCCGGTGGCACAGCAGTATGTCTGCAGACTTACAACGCTAGGATCCGGGTTTCAATACCCGTGGTGGGCAGATCACAGCTAGCCCATTGTGTAGCTTTGTGCTTAATTACAAACAAACAATCTTTAAAGTTACAGATGTTCAATATATGTTTTTGTTATTAAATCCAAAGTTTTACAATGGGATATTAGTGCTGTGCCCACGCCAGAGATCGAACCCCGATTTTTACCACTATAAACCCCTAAGCTTACCGCAGAACCACCGGGAACACAAATATTCTACGTTGCATCCTTTGACTACAAATATTATTTGGCACGAGTAGAAGTTTCACGTTGAAGTGAGTAACCTGTCTGATTGAGCTTAAGATTAGATGACGTTTTGGTTCAATCCCATGAATTTTACTCGGAAGATGATCGAAACATCAACTCATCAAATAGATTGTCTGCTTTATGAGGAACCTGCTGACCTGTATTTCATGCAGGTCTTGTGTTTCAATCCACACATCCTATTTCGATCTTTTACTCCTAAAACAGAACGAAATAAATATTTCATGTGGAGCGCTCGCCGCGTTTATTATGCACTGTATAAAACGTAGCGAACGCAGGACGAATTTATAACAATTATATCTTTAGAAGGGACACATACCTTGCTGCTGCTGTTGTCTACGCTTCCGCTTACGGATAAAACAGATGACAAGGATCGCATTCATGAATACGAGAAGAGCGCCAACAACAGAACCGACAACTAGTAACAGCCTGGGTATTTCGCCTTTGTTTCCTAGTGATGAGTCGATCACGGCACCCGTGGAATCGATAAGGGCAGCATCTGTGAAGATGAAATACTATATTCTAGAATACGGAAGTGCATGTGGAATTAATAAAACACGTGAAATAGTACAAATGTGCCTGTACTTAACATGATGTTTGTCAGTGCAACAGCATGTGTGGGTGTTTGCCTATGGAGCTAAATAAATATATATCAATGTGCAATAGTGTTGTGGATTTAGTAATATTATTAGCCACAGCACAACAATGAATGTCAATTAATCAAACTTATGTTGGTACATCATGCCTGTGGACTAAAAAATGACATTTGATTCAGTGCAGTAGTGCTTTCCAGTTAAAACAATGTGACACACATAGTGTACAGTATATGTGGGTTTAATAAAATATGTATTGAATAACAACTTAGTATATAAAACAAAAACTATTTCTTGGAAAGGAACAGTTAAATGAACTTTTTGGTCGTTCAAATAAAGTGATAAAGTGAGTTACACCTAAACCCAGTAATCTAGTATTTAACAGAACTGTACAGCCAAATTGAATATTCGTATACTTATCACATACTTTTTACATTTCCAACCAATCAACCATGATTATTTACGAATTGTTGCACATCCTAGGAATGAGCGGATGTTAGGTATTTTTTTTCTAAATCGATACCATACTCCTAAGTTATACGCTATAATACAACATTGGCAGTTAGCATATGATAAGCTGTGAAAAAAACAAAAACTAAAAACTAAAAAGAAATTGCTATCTTCTTTTCTGGTTTAGACAATCTATGTTAACTCTCTCTATACATCCGAAACAGATTTTGAGAGTGAAGTTGAAAATAAACAAAACACATTGTTTTCGTTAAGTGATTCTTTGCAGTAATTGGAACTAAGAATAAATAAGATAATTTAATTTTCTTTTAACTACAATTAAAAGGCACAATTCATTTTTATTTCCTTTCTCTTTAAGTAAATAAAAACAACATCATTTGTTATGTTAAGCAATAAAGAAAATAATTAGTTTTATACCTCACGTAATTTTAAATAATGAATAATAATTATACAAGATTGTAAACAACAGCTGATGAATAATAAGTATACAAGATGGTGAACAACAGCTGATGAATAATAATTATACAAGATGATGAAGAACAGCTAATGAATAATAATTATACAAGATGGTAAACAACAGCTGATGAATAATAAGTATACAAGATGGTGAACAACAGCTAATGAATAATAATTATACAAGATGGTAAACAACATCTTGTAGTTTAGCAACAGCTGATGAATAATAATTATACAAGATGGTAAACAACATCTTGTAGTTTAGCAACAGCTGATGAATAATAATTATACAAGATGATAAACAACAGCTGATGAATAATAATTATATAGGATGGTAAACAACAGCTGATGAATAATAATTATAAACGTTGGTAGAAAGAGCTGATTAATAATAATCATACAGGTTGTTAAACAACAGCTGGTGAATAATAAGTATACAAGATGGTTAACAACAGCTGATGAATAATAATTATACAAGATGGTAAACATCAGTTGATGAATAATAATCATAGATTTTGGTAAAAACAGCTGATGAATAATAATTATACATTTTGGTAAAAACAGCTGATGAATAATAACTATACAGGTTGAAAAACAACAGCTGATGAATAATAACTATACAGGTTGTTAAACAACAGCTGAAGAATAATAATTATACAGGTTGTTAAACAACAGCTGAAGAATAATAATTATACAGTGATTACCTAAAGTTCGGGCGTGTGCTATTTGTTCACTGTAGCCGCTTTTTCCTATAATATTTCGAGACATTATTTCAAAGATGTACTCTGTTTCAGGATTCAATACGTTGATGACGGCCTTTGAAGCATTCCCAGGTAGATAGCTACTATATGCATATTCACTGGACGATACTGTTCTGAATCGTATCCTGAACTGCTGCTGATAGCCACCATCAAACCCTGGTGCCCAAATCAGTGACACTGAGTTGTGAGTGACATTTTTAACGGAGAGATCGTTTGGTGGATCAGGTCTATCTGTGAAATAAATTAAGTACAACTTGTAGTTACAAGATGCAATTTGCTTGCATCATGAATAGAAATTAATAGCTACTTATCACAACCAATAGCAATATAAACCTTTTATGTTAAAGTAAATAAATACGAAATATATAATTTACTCTTTGCTATGGTTCTTCAGTCTAACGACTGATGATTAATGGTACTTAACAGGCAATTCAGTTTGTTGTTAAGCGCAAAGCTATTAATGAGCTATCCGTGTTCTGCCCACAGCTGGTATCGAAACCCAATTTTTAGCATTATTAGCCTTGAGATTTATCGCTCAGCCAAGGAGGTGCACGCATTTACGTCGAATAACAGTAAACATGATACTAGGCCCCAGGTGTGCGAAGTATTTAGCTCTTTTTTTGGCTTTAACTTCTAGGTGTTGTACAACTAATATTTTCTGGTGTTGAAAAGTACTGAGCTTTAATTGTTAAAGCTTAAAAAGAAATTAGAAGTCCGTATATCTGACTCATAGATGGCGCAGAAAGTCATTTCTTTTTCTCGCGTGGTTAATCGTTGACACCATTTAGATCAGCCCTCCCAGTGGCACAGCGGTATATCTGCAGACTTACAACGCTAGAATCAGGGTTTCGATACCCGTGGTGGGCAGAGCACAGATAGCCCATGGTGTAGCTTTATTCTTAATTACAAAACAACAAATCAATTATATTAAATTCAAAATATCTTTACCTGTTTCTCTTACTTTTATTTTTATATCTTTTTATGTTATCACAAAGAAATATAAATTGACACTGTATTACAAAGAATATTACTACCATATATTATGCCATTCCATCGAAATAAGATTTAAATATGTTTCCAGTACTATATTCATAACCTTTTGAGTTTCCTTGACTTCTGACATAAGCAATTTTAACAATATGTTGAATACATTTCGATAAAAACATACCCACTCAATGAACTTAATATAAATATACATATTTATAAAGAATAAGCTCTTTACATCTAGTGTGTTTTCTTAATATATCTTACAAACCTCTTTTCCTTAAATTGATCCTTATTTCATCCCTCCCCATTTCATTTTTCGCAGTACATTCATAAATTCCAAAGTCGTTTACGTTCAAGCTATTCACAAACAAGGTACTCTCCCATAGCGTCTCTCCCAGGCTCAAGTCTTGCTGGGAAAACCTCATTTTGACAAATTCTTCTCTAGACAAGGAATCGCCGTCTTTAGACCAAGTAAAACTTACGTTCGGCGCAGCTTCTGCTCGACATATTAAACGCACTGTCCTGCCCTCTTCTCCAGCTATGTTCAGGTTGTACTGTGACTCTTGGATAACTGGTTGAACTGAAATAAGTAAACAAGTAACAAAATAGTTATTTTAAATATTTTTTATGTTATATGATCGTACAAAAAAATATTACCCGCATCTTTTATACAAGAATGCAAATGACATGACATAAAAATGATTTTCATATTAAATTACACTAATGTTTATTCATTATATATAAAATTTCCAGTAATCTTTCTTCCAAATAATTCAATTTTACCGCCTTTAATAATCCTAGATCGCATCAGTTGAAACTCATACTATAAGTAATGTTATTATTGTATAACGAACCACAAATTTGATGTGGAGTGTTACTAGTATAAAATACATTGTCTAGCATAAGCTTTTCTGATAAATAAATAGATTATTAAACAAATATTCTTATAATGTCGTTGTAAATAGCTAAGCAGTGAAAATAAATTTCAAATTACAAAAGTTGTGATTTCATAATTACTGAATGTCTTCTTCTTTCAAGTGCTATTATATTGATAATGTGTAGAAACAAAGTACGTTTTTATCTGCACATTCTGTCAGAAAATATATCAAATACTTATTACCACATTGTCAGTGTTTTAGTTTGAAATACGAAATGTTGAGGTAAACAACAAATCATGAAAAATATAATGGATGAATAAAGATTACATTATTAAATTGCCGGACTTATTTTCCAATGGCCCTAAATGCACTCACGACTCACACTTGACAACAAGCCGAACTTGTGCTATTGATTCTTCTCCAATTCCATTGTAAGCCACACATTCGATATTACCAGCATCTTCTTTAGACACATTCAATACGGTAAGAAATGAGCGTCCCCTCTCGGATATGATTTGCGTATTTCTCATTTCATATCCCGGTCGATTCCAACGGATGATATCTTGCGTCAATGGATTCCCTGTTACTTCACACAGAAACTGGGCATCGTCTCCTTGTTTTGCGTATGTTGACGGACTTATTTTTGTGATAGATGCTTGATCTGGTGAAAAAAAACGTGCTGTTTATTTAAAGAATTAATTAAGGAATATGTGTGTGTGTGGCTTGAGTTTATCATAATGTATTTTTAATTATTAAAAGCATGAGATGTTCATAAAATCTATATAAAAATTAGAATGAAAATGTAAATACTATATAGAAGATGTTATTCTTGCTTTTGTTTTATTCACGATGTCTTGCAATTTTGTGTTATTAGCATATATTTTTCCAACCTGTTATTACCATAATGATTGAGGTAATTACGATAAAAATTTAAGCAAAATTAATCTTTAAAGTGTAAACTTAATAATATCTAGCGCATTTTGATTTACTGCACACACTTGCAAAACAATGTAAGATCTCTTGTTACGTTTAATTGAACAAACGATAGTCCAAAGGAAGTAATTTTTATTCTTTATTGAAATAAATAGTTAAAGGGCCAGCACATTATTCCGAAAAAGACCATGAACGGAGTAGCTATTTCACAAGTAAACTTGTCTGATTTAATGAAAGTATATGTAAGTAGATACACAACCCTTACGCATATAGTATCTTGCATATATGTAATTAGATATTTATTGTCACATTATTATATACGATATTTAATCATTTGATATGATCATATACGAGTTTGATACAGAAAGTCAACCTATTTTAATTCCTTTAATCTCAATACAATAAAACAATAATTCTTTTTATGTAGTGTGTGAACATGTTCTATACCTCATGGTTCAAACAGATGAAAAATAAGATAATAAGTGTAACAATACCTAACCAAGTTGCATATGCACTCACAAATATTTATTTACGTGTGTGTGTGTGAATGTGCTCTATGAGTTAAGTCTTCTAAATCAATTAGAAATGCATTTAAAACTGTATGTGAATGTATATTACTTAGGGTATGGTAATGAAGTTACTTTAATTTGAAGAATAAAATATGTTATATCAGCGTTTAACTCCATCACTGGCTTTCATTTAAAATTTCTACTTTTTATATTTAACACATGACTTTTCAATCTAGTCAGATATCTAACTAATTGATTATTAGCTCATTGTTTCAAGTTTTGTATAATGAACAAAGCACTGTTCTGATCATTTGAAGGTACTTACATAACACATTGATAAGAATCACCTTCCTGGTGGTACCTTGAGAATTGGAAGCTTCACAGACATACTGACCACCAAAGTTTCTGGACATCTCAGCAATTTCCAAGACGGGCCCTCTTGAAACTACTCTGTGGCTAGTAAATTGCTTTGTTTTCCAGACGTAACTGTCAGAAACGTCTAGAACAGGTTCACCGTCTCTGATCCAAGTGTAGTCAATAACTGGTGGATTTCCCTTTGCTGTGACGTTAAATGCTTCAGATTCTCCTTCTACAGCGTCAAACCTTTCCATTTCCGGAACCAAAAATTCTGGTTTATCTGAAATGTAAATTCTATGCATTAAAATTAAACAAACGTTTCAAAAGCAAGTAGCTAAATAGAAGCCATTTAAAGCATTTCTCTATTCTATAGAAGATAACAATAAACTTTGTGAACTAATTAGTGAACATCTTTTCAAATAGACAATACTTTTGGATACTTGTGTATATTGATAGTGAAATGTTCTGGATTATACATGAATTATATATATAACCTTCTGAATTAGAAACTGAAAATCCTAAGATATCTGATGCTCAAACGCACATGTTTAGATTTATATAAACACAAGTAATAGTTCTGACCGAATATCCATACTTTTTTTATCAAATCTATAGACTTTGTTCACTTAAGAGTAATTTTCTTTATTTTGTGCACACAAGTACTGCAATTTCATGTTTACTTAAATCCTACGGAATATGCTACAAACTAAAATTTGTCTTTGTATGATAAAACTTTGAATTGAAAACAACTATGATAGTTTCAATCCAGTGATTTTAAAATATGTAATAATGATAATAATAAATATTAGAATAATGTTACTAAAATTAAAACAAAACAATGTAAATAAGCTTTATAAAAACAACCAAAATATGTTACAATAATTACATTTTCTTCTTATCGATTACTTTATTTGCATAATCTATTTTCACATAAAATCCTCATATACTAGTTACTTATTATTTTCTTCGTGCAAACCTCTAAAATAGGCTGGCTATCTGCACTCTGTCCACCGCAGGGATTCGAATCCCGGGATTTTAGCGTTGCAGCTCCGCGAGCTCACCGTTGACCCACTGCGCTTTTCCACTTGTTAGAGCGGTAGATTAAATTAGCTACATTATTTACTGGGCTAATTTCACATGTGAGGTTTGCCAATAAAGGACTAACAGAAGGATTATATCCATTGCTGTGTGGGTCCTCTTAATGCAGGTATCTCTCTCATTAAAGATACGTTTTTCCTTCCCAAGTTGTAGTTTGTACTATAATTTAAATTTATTTCCATATATGTCTTTAATACATCTGCTGAATATGTTAATAATTTTTCAAAGAGCCGTAACTCTGATTTGTAGTTAAAAACTGGGACTTAATCGCTTAGTTGATTAATCTCTTTGGGATTTAAAAAAAAAACATACTTTTTACGGTAAGAAGAACTTAAAAACTGGGACTTAATCGCTTAGTTGATTAATTTTTTGGGGATTTTAAAAAACTTACTATTTACGGTAAGAAGAACTTAAAAACTGGAACTTAATTGCTTAGTTGATTAATCTTTTTGGGATTTAAAAAAAAACATACTTTTTACGGTAAGAAGAACTTAAAAACTGGGACTTAATCGCTTAGTTGATTAATTTTTGGGGATTTTAAAAAACTTACTTTTTACGGTAAGAAGAACTTAAAAACTGGGACTTAATTGCTTAGTTGATTAATTTTTTGGGAATTCAAGAAAACTTACTTTTTACGGTGAGAAGAACTTGGAAACATGTTAATTAACTGGATCTAGTTTGACAATGTTCGTATTTTTTTTGTCCAGGAATGACGTTAGTGTTTATCAGAATTTTCGTTGTTATTGTGCTTTAAAAAGAGATATATTTACTTGACATATTGATATTTTGGTGTTGAGAGTACTGCAAATGAATTGATGTAGTGTTACAGATGCTGTGTTGCACATTAATCGCTGGATAAATGGATTGGTGGGCGGACAAAGAGATAGCTAGATATATATATATATATTTTTTAATGTAGTTATTTTGTGTATTTTAGCATCAGGCCTTAAAGCCGAACATGTTAGTAAAAAACATTAAATGATAATAATTGTTGATTACTGACCAGTGACAACAAAAATAGAAATTATGAAAGGAATTAGTAATACTTTATCACAACTAGTGTCCGTCTATTTAATTTTTATTTTTATAAGATCCTCTTAATAAATAGGTATTTATATATAAAAATGGTTTCTTAGGTCTTGAGACACCAATTAACAACCTAAAATAGAATTTCAATTATTTCATAATTAGATTGGAAAAAGATCATGTAATTAAACTTTGAGTTGAGCGGACTGAAGTATGTGATTTTTTTTTGTGTGTGTTTCGCTAAAAGTTTGAAGAAACTATTGATAACTGCATTGCTTATTAAAGCTCTTCATACAAACAAAGTATGAAAATAATCTTACTGAACAATGGCGTTTTACATCATGTTTACATTTAATTAATTTACTATTCATTTAGGTGTGTAAAAATCTATAAACCACACACTATATTGAATATTTCAATTAGAACTTGTGAGGAAGCTTTTAGCGAGTGATCAACAGCAAAAGGAAAATATATTAACAGTTTTCTTCTCGAATGAAAAAATGATCTCCGAAGTAAGAAACTATTTTAAAGAGTTAAGATGCGATGAGAGTTTTATGATTTTTAAAAATTCTCATCTGCCCATATATATAATTATCTTGCAGACAGCAACTAAATATCTATTTCCATAGATTCAGAGATGAAATGTTTTTATGTTTAATTGAAAAAAAAACAACAACAACGGAAAAACATTTCGACTGCAATCAATATAAGGACCTTTTGGGCTTTACAACTGAGATGGATGAAATTATACTAATCTTTATTTAAACTACTATACCCTAATTAAGTGTGAAAAAAAAGTATTTGTTTAATAAAAACCACACCTACAGCATATTAATTTTTGTTGTTTTTTTGGATAATCCGAATGTTGAAGGCCAAAATAATTCGTTTTTGACGTATATTTTCACTATGCTTCAACTTCTTTAAATTACATCAAAGAACAAAATATAACAAAAACATTGTTTTGTTTACCTTACATAAGTATATTAATTTTGCGTAAATGTAATTAATTTACGGAGAACGGAGTAACCTGAAATGATCGAACACAGAATATATAGTTTGTTTGTTTGTTTTCTGGTAAGTTTACGGCATCTTGATTCGAAATTTCTACAAGTAGGTATAATATGCACTGTGGTGAAAATAATTTGTTTTGAGCTCTGCTTATGTGTTTGAAAATATATATGTTTCTGTACAAGAAATACATTTTAGTCCATTATAAAATAAAACGGTTCCCGTATTTTTTCCTGTCGAAATTATATTCCTAACATCGCCCCACGAAAAATATACAAGAATGAATTTCAATGAATTATTATTATTTAAATAATAAAGCATCTGAACCGAACTCAAATGAGATGTTTGAAAGAAATGTTTGTTTTATATTACCCTTTTCAATAAATTGGATTTCTCTCTTAGATATTCCAACATTTCCTCGAAGTAAGATGTAATTCTATCAAACTAACGACATCCTTCCAAGATAAATTGCATATATATTACCACCTTCTGCTTCAGAGGCGTGTTGTTATCGAATCAACTCTTGCCACTTGCATCGATCAATCCTTCTTCAAGTGGTTCAGTCAAATAATCCCAACAACATCCTGTTCTAATGGCCGAGAATTTACGAACTTAATGTATTAATGCATTCTACCTTTTTCTTATTATGTGGTTCGGAGGTTTAAAATTCTACAACGGTTGATTTTAAAAGTAGGGAAAACAGTTGTATTATAGTTGATAATATCTTTTTTTCTTATATTGTGAAGGGATGTTTACAATTGTGCTTCGGCATTAAAAAATAAATATTCACTATTGAAGAAGTAAATGCCACAGAGATAATATATTTTACATGGTATTGTTTCAGATAAGGGTTTTTGATGCATGTTACCAGCAAAATTGGCCAAATGTGGTAACAATTCACATTATGAATGGCATTTACTGAGCACCTGAATTTAAGAATTTGGCCAAGGTGATAAAATATCGCCACAAAACTATAACTAATTGAAAGGTTTTCATATCCTCCTGCGGGACAGCATTAAGTTCCAGGAATTATGACGCTAAAATCCGGGGTTTGTTTCCCCGCGGTGGATACAACAGATAACGCAATGTGGCTTTGGTCTAAAACAAACAATCAAATATACCTTTCATACTTAGATGGCGACCTACACCATAATGCAAAAAAATCTGTTATTCTTCCTAACTGAAATCATTTACTGCTAAGAGTTCTACATCATGCTGCTATACAGTGTGAACTTACAAAGCACCCGTAATGTCAACGTATCATGAACACTTCGGTGGAGGTCCAAATTAGTCGCCTGGCACTTGAACTCCGCGTTGTCGTCAGAAGATGTAACATTAAATCTTAATCGACTCTTCGTAATCTTTCCTCCATACTGGCCATCAATTACTCCGTCATGACTACCAGTGATCGGATTGCCATTTTTCCACCATTTCACACTAGCTTCAGGGTTGCTGCTTGTAGATTCGCAAGTCAAGACCACCTGATTAACAAGAAAAAACACACTAAAATTCCATATTATGAAACAATTTTCTGAAATTAAGTGTCGCGTAACATGGAACAGTTGTTTATGAACTTCATGAACGAAGTAATGTACTTTTTACTGCAGAAGAATATTCAGTTGTCACTTTACAGAACATAAACGCCTCCCAGTGGCACAGTGGGATGTCTGCGGACTTACAACGCTAGAAACCAGGTTTTGATACTAGTGGTGGGAAAAGCACAGATAGCCCATCATGTAGTCGCGTGATTAAATTCAAACGAACAAACAGAATATAAACTTTTCACAGTTTCTCTTACTTATAAGAAAAACCAGGTTTGAATTTGTTGTTGATTTTCTCCTTGCCCCCTTTTTTTTAATAATTATAGATTGAAATATACAACGCAAAATTAATATTTTTTTTTATGATTTCGTGCAAAACAATTCAGGGGATATTTGCCATTAGCCGTTCCTCATTTGAAACTGATAGGGCAGAGGGAAGAAAGCTAATCCATAGGATCCACCGTCAACTCTTGTCTAACATAATAGTACGATTTGATCGTCCCGCCTAGAACACTCTCAGTGTCTAAAAATTGTGGAGCGTGTTTTTAGCACAATGAGACACGAACCAAGAAGTTTTGGGTTCGCAAATCAAGCATGCCATCCACTACAAGCCATGACAGGTCTCGCAAATTGAAATAATATATTTAATCATAATTTGATTGGAAACATTTTAAATAGATTTAATGACAGACTAAAATGTACTAAATATATTCATAAAGGATAGATTTATAACCATTTAAATAATACATGTATATTACAGACTAATTATTGTGTATTTTTGTTATTTTTACATATACTTTGTCTTTAAATTCGATGACGAGGAACCCACTTTGAGACTAATAATGGCTGGAGACGGCTTAAATGGGTAATGAAAAAAACTTTAATACAGGT